CCCCAAAACCCCAAAACCCCAAAACCCCAAAACCCCAAAACCCCAGAAGGAATAAGATTTATGGAAATTAGCCAATAAAATGATGATTATGTCATATTTTACAAGGTGGTATTGGCGTGACCTCCGAAGAACTTCTTTAGGTTAGTATAGACTTCATAGAACTCGAACTTATCACCATCATCCTTTACTACCTCGATGCATTTTTTGTCATCATCAACTTTTAGAACACTGACGGAGAATTCGACCGGAGTCTCACCGGCTTTTGCTTTCATCTTAAAAGAAGCTCTGTACTCTTCATCATCGAAGGTATGCTCCTGAGCATAGTCTTCACCATAAGTTGCTAGTGCTCTAAACAAGTCATCAGCTGATGACGTGGAGTAGAACTCTGTGTATCTCTTGAGTTCAGGGACATAATCAGCTAAGACTCTTTCGATATCTATAGCCTTAGATTCCTCTCCCTTTGGAATGGATCTTTGGACCACATTGGGTTGCCAAACTCCTGCACCAGCAGAATGATCTGGTATAGTCTGATCTTCCTGATTATTTAAAGCTGCTAATTGATTACTTCTATCATTAAACTCTTCGGTGATTTCTTCCTTAGTTGGGACAGGTCCTTTGTACCATGGGTGCTCTTTGATCTCAGCCAAGGATGGTCTCTCATGAGGATTATATGATAGCATAGAGGCAACTAAATCTCTAAATTCTTCCGAGAAATAGTCTAATCCACCTTCTTTTCTCTTTGTATGTACCTTCCAGAAGACATCTACTCTATTAGTACTGATCAATTTGTAGTGGGGATCTCTGGCTGATGCAGCTGTGAATGGAGGATGCTGTGCAACCATGATGAACAATATTATTCCGGTCGCAAACAAGTCTACGCTCTGACCGCTGTACTTCACACCCTTGTATATCTCCGGTGCCATGTACCCGTCAGTGCCTCTCTTGGTCTCGTTCATAGCCTGACTTGATGAGAACCCGAAGTCAGCAATCTTCAGGTTGTGCTCAGCATCCAGCATCATGTTTTCTGGCTTGATGTCTCTGTGCGAGACACCCTGAGTGTGGATGTACTCGAGGCCTTCAATCATCTGGTGGAAGTAGTATCTGGCAACATCCTCAGTGAATCTTCCAGTTTCAGCAATGAAGTCAAAGAGTTCTCCTCCACTGACTAATTCGAGTGCGAGATAGAACACTTTGACTTGGGTGCCGCTCGGCCTGACATATTTGGCGTCTTCATCCCAGTCAAGCAGCTTGACCAAGTTGAGGTGATCGAGGTCTTTCATCGCATCGATTTCATTCCTGACAAGTTCCATCATGGAAGTATCGAAGCCACCAGAGTTTTTCATAATTTTGAGAGCGACGAGGGCTCCGGTTTCGGAGTGCCTGGCGAGTTTGACTCTAAGAGATGAGCCTGAAACACTTACTCAGAGAAGCCACCTTTGCCGAGTGTCTTAATGCAACGGTATGGGCCACAGGTTGCCATTGTTGAAATGATTTTCTTATTAAATTCTATTATTATCTCAACTCCAGTCTTTATATATGGGGTTTTGGGGTTTTGGGGTTTTGGGGTTTTGGGGTTTTGGGGTTTTGGGGTTTTGGGG